TTGTTGATTTATGAAAGCAAAATTAGCTTGTAAGTTAAAGAGATTACAAATATATCTTTTTTTTTCTTCTTAACCCTTCGATTGCTCGCCAGTGTGACAGCTTCATCTTGGCAGAATGCCAAACTGTGTCATTGTCCGCTCCACTGCTGACCATTTCACATCTAGCAAGCCTTTCACAGATCTGTGATGAAATTTAGCTACGATTGTTGAACTTAGTTCGTCCAGCAAAATTACTTCTCTTTTTTTTCATTTTATTTTTCTTTTTATTCCTGTTGTGCAAAGGAAACCCAAGTTTCTTTATCTGCTTCTAACAAAATTTGTCTCGACTTAAGTTCTAATCATAAGAGTCCAAAATGATTGACCGTTTTGATATGTCGTGGGCATTTTTTTTTTCTTTTTTGGTTGGTTTCTTGAAGTATCTTTGCTGACAACTGCAGCCTATACACTTCGTCACTGTGTCACCGGCGTGTGTTAAAATCTTTAAAAGTTTTGAAAAAATACACTGTATATGTATATATATATATATATATACACGCTTTTTTTTAAAGATTTAAATGTCTTTATCGCCATTATTTATAGGCTTACTTAAATTAATTAATGCGTTAATGTTAAAGATGACTCGCAAATATTATTTTTGAATATTTTACTAGTAAAACTTTGTTTCTATTTCAGATATTTCAGCTATTCTCAATACAGACTTTTTTTTTTTCGAACGCTTTGCTTACTTTTGACATTTTTTACGAAATATTTCTGGTTTTTAAACCTTTTCTCAAGCATTTTTCAACAATTTTAAAACATTTTTTAATATTTAAAAATAATATTTTCTAAAAGATTTTCTATTTTCAGCATACGTTTTATAGGTTTTTTAAAGAATTTCGTCCAATTTAATATTTTAAAATAATTTTTATTGTGTTTCCATGCTATTTTTTTCAATATTCAGAGTAGTCGAAAGCGAAATTTTATCAAATATTTCAAAGATTTGATCTATTATATTTCTTCTTATCGAAATAAATAATATTTAATTGTCTGGGCATCAGCAGAGGGAGTAAATGGAGCACTTTTTCTTCCTTGGATACAGTAAAAAATTTCATAAATATAATCGTAAAAGTTATTGAAATATGTAACCTTACATCCTCGACCATGATACTCTGTCTCTCTTTTTGTATTGATGGAATGCTGTATTCTATAATCTACTTGTGAATAAAACCCCCAAAATTATTTATTGATGCAATTATCTGTCTCCAAGCTTTGAATTCCTGGAAAATTTTCTATGAACACCCACGTTTAATTGTATTATATCTGAATATTCTGAATAGTTTTTAATTATTCAATGTTTTACGAATGCAATGCGTAAAATACGTGTTCTTTTCACTTTCGTATAACTCTTCAATAATACAATTCTATCGTAGCAAAAGAAGCGGAAAAATAAATGGAAAATGATATATATTAACTGATAATCTGTCTTGCCTAATCCTAAGATATGAATCCAATCGAATATCATTAATAAATAAAATCAAATATGGAGATGCTGCATTAAGAATAAGGTATGGATACAAGAAGAATGATATTCAATTTCCGATGTTGAATGCCCTAAATTAATACATTATATGGCTGCCAAAACGGAATAAAAGCTGTCATTAATACTTAAGAAGATTATACATGATATTTATTTAATTTATTTCAACTTTATGCTAATTTTTTCCTTTTCTCTTGCTCGTTGCAAATTTTCTCCAGTGACACTTCGTGATGTTTCGCTTTGTAAATCTTCATAAAATGTCAGAATATTTGAATATATATATATCAGTAAATTCAGGAAACAATAGAGAATTTAGTTAAATTCTTTATTTAAAGATGTCGCTAATAATTTGAGAATATAAATATAAAATTCTTCACTGTATATCGTGTTGTAATTTCTAACTTTTCTAACAATTTTCTAGTTTCAGAATTGTTTTTTTTTTTCGCATATTTCTCGCGATTAAGATTTTATCTCGTTAAATTCATTGATAAAAATGCAAATAAATTGTATTTTTTTTTAAAAAAGAAAAGATATTTGCATAATTTCCGAAAGTGTAAACAGTAAATTTCAATAGTTGCGCGTATTTCTTAACGCCGAATAATTCTTATGGAAGGATCATTTATCATTTATTTTCGCGTGGTTAAAATCCAAAATTTTTATACATAAAAATTAAAAAAAAAACAGAGAAAATGAAGATAATTATTTTTTAGCGATAATGTGTAATGGAGAGAATATTAAGAAAATAGTTTAATTTCGTAAATGAGACTCTCCTTTTTAAAACTTTTATGACTAATTATACTTCGTAACCAAAAAATCGTCTCGGTAAATAATTTAAAATAAAATAAAAAAAGTTATTCCTCCACCATTTTTCTTTCTTTAATTAAAGATGAGCTCAATAAAAATTGCGATTTGTTGTTAGATATCCAGTAAGAGAGTGGAAAGAACCGAAGAAAGAAGTTAATTAGGTGCGCGTTATCTATCGCTACTTAATTCAATCAGTCATATAACAATATGTTCGACGTCAAATATTCTCATTTCATTTTGTTTAAATGATTTATATAAAATTCTTTTATTTATAATACTCTTTTCTCTATCTTTATATCAAATTTTCTATTTTTAAAAAAAATATATTTTAATGTAAATTTTTGTATCAGTTATGAATAAGTAATCAAGTGCATTCTTGAATTTATAAACCTATTTTATATAAATTCCAATCTTTCTAAATATTGCTTTAAATGTCACTTCTTTTTCCATTTGCATTCTGTGTTTTTCTATAAGTTTTTACTTGATTGAATTCAAAAATCAGCAAATTATAATATATATATATGTTTTTTAATCTTCGACTTACATTTTTCAATATTTTTGTAAATATTTTGACATAATTTAGTGTCAATTTTCAAATATTTTTAAAGTTTTAACCAATTTTAATATCAATTATTTTATTTTTCCAATAGCATTATCTTTTTTTCTTAAAAATATTTCATCTTCTTTGTCATTTTTAAGAGAAATTGTGTGCATTTTCAACTTTTTTTTTCAATTTTTATTCATTTTTAATGAGTTTTTTTCTAGTTACATTTTTTTTCCAACCACTTCTTCTGTCATTTTGTAACATTAGAAAGAAGCAAAGAATATTTTTATTTATGTATAACAATTCTTAAATTAACGAAAGTGAAGAAACGAGCATCTTTAAATGCATATATAAAATTCATTAGCTAGAAAACGGGGGAAGACTTTACAAGAGAAGTCAACGAAGGTTGTCCAATCATCTCGGATTAGTCATTGATTGAACAGGCTATTTGACCATTCCATTAGTAACTAGCTTCAACTCCGCCCAAAGTCGAGCGATAACTCTATTATATTCTGACGTTCAAAGTCGAGCTTCTCGAACCAAAAGTGTAAAAGGTGTTAGACGTCAATAAAAGTTAACCGGGCATTTCTTTCTTCTTCCAGAATAGGATAGAGTTTCGCTGTCAAGTTTGTCTCAATGGTCTACTTACAAAGGACCAAATGTGATTAAAGACAAAGAATTTGAAAAGATAAAACACTACTCGAATCTGATGTAATTTAAGTCAAGTTCCCTGTCAGAAAACAAGGACCAAAAACAAAAAAAAATTGAGAAAAAATAAATATCTACAACCTCATTAAATCCTTTTTCTTTAAACAATAAAAGGATCATCAAATCGCTCTCATTCAGTTAACCGGGTTATTCGAAGGTCCAATTATCGATAACCGTTCGATAATCGGCAATTTTGTTATTTGTAATTCATTCTTGAAGTCTTCATTTGTTTTTCTTTTCTTTTTTAAATCCAAAATTAAGCAATAAATTTTTTAGTAAATGTTACAATTTCAACAAAACTAAACTCTAGTTTTATCATTGCAATCACATTTCATTAAACGGAGCCATTTAGGTCATTAAACGGACAGATTTGTCATCAATTAATATTCATCCCCCCACATTAGAAAGTACTTTAAGGAGTCATTATATAAAGTTCCAAATATGTTAAGTCATTATGTCATTTGTAGATAAGACAATCGATTTTTTTTTATTATTATTTTTCGAGCTTTTCACACGCTCTTATTGAAAGAAAATTGCATTAAAGCATTATAAACTCGATACTGTTGAATAAATGTCATTAAAAAAAAAAAAGAAAGAAATAATAATAATACGTATGCAATAAAACACAGCGAAATATTTTTCCATTCTCTAGCAATAATTGAAATTCCTCTATAGAAAATAATTAAGAAAATTGGAAAACGATTAAGTTGAAAAATAAAACGTGATTTACATGTTAGAAAAATACTGTTAATACATTTTAATATTTGCAAATTAATAAAGTAAAAAACAAAATTGATTTTTGTAAACGAATATTGCATCATTTTTTTTCAAGAAATTACGTTTCAGTTCAGCGATCAAACTTCGTAAAATTTATGCATAAAAAAAAAACGTTCGAAGTATTTTAAATACATCATTTCACCTACCGAAAGAGCATTTCATGCGGAAAAAATTCAAAAAAAAAAAACTATTTTAATTAATAAGAAAATAAATAGTTCTTGACGGATATTTTTAATGATACTTTATACACAAAATGGACATTATATTACCCAGTTAAAATATAATTAATTTAAATCGTAATTTGAATAAACTGATAGAGCTTTTCCGCTTAATTGAAGAGATTCTATTGCCGGAAAATTCGGGAGGATATTGCACTTTAAAATGCTTTCTTTCTATAAATAATAAAATACATTGTTGAATTTGGCGTATTCTATATGACGCCAAATACACCGGATGACATTAATGCCTACGGTATTCTAGGTAATGGCACTAAGAGCATTAGATGGCGCTATTATTTAGAGCTTTAAAAGCAGTCCTAGAAATCCTAGATGGCGCTACCATCTTAATGGTGGCGCTGAGAATCATAGATGGCGCTACTATCTAGAACTTTATAAGCTGCTCTAGAAATTCTAGATGGCGCTACTGTTTACTGTTTTAGTAACAGTAGGAATCCCAGATGGCGTTTTTATAAACAATTCTTGAAGCTCTCTACAATTCTCCGGACGGTAATGAAAGAATCTTATATGTTTTTTCTTATTGGCAATCAGAAAAGACGGCTAAATATTTTATTAATTTTAAATATTGATAAATTTTTAAAGCCGTTTCTATCAAATACTCAATATATTTAATATTGTATTATTTTTAAGTAAGTAAAAATATTAATTTTCATTAGGTTTTATTAAGCTGACAGGTAATATTATTTGTAGAAATATTTTAAAACTGTTTCACCTTCCATTAGGCGTGTTTGCTACATCATCAAATAGATTTAATACTGTTATATCTGTAATTTAATGAAAATTTTCCAGTTTTTTTTTCTTTATATATATATAAATTTAAATGTAATTACTTAAAATTTGCAGAGAGGCTCGTCGTTTATATTCAATGTGATCTTTTCGAACTTCTACACGAAAATGTTTAACGTCTAGCGTGTAACAGAATTTTTTAATGATATTAATTCAATATTACTGTATTAAAATTTATAAAGCTCTCGTTTAAAAAGAAAAAAACCCCAAAGAAAAATTTTGATATTCTCGAAATCAATTAAATTTCTTTCTTAATTATTAAAATTACTGCTCGCAAGAAAATGCATATTTTCTGGCGAGCAGTAATTGAAAAAAATAAAACCACTTATTAATATTAAAAATTATTTTATATCATTTTAGAAATTACAAATATCAATAACAAGTAATAAATATTGTAAAAAAATATTGTAGACAAATAAGTATAAAAAAAAACAAAAAATTTACAGCTAGTTTGTATGTTAGTGATTGTACTGTGCTTCTTGTTAGAGTAACTATCTTCCTTCTCTGAACCGATAGCATGTTCCAGGATGATAATATACCATCAGGTAGTTGTTTTCCCGATGGAAAACTGTTGAAGAATACGATTGGAATGTCAAGATCACACATCCGAGTCTCCAAAATCTCAATTCAATCGACCAAAATGTATTGAGGAGACGGAAGAATGTGAACCAATCTTCTCTTTCTTCCCCAAAGAATCGGTTTGAAAACCGATTATGACATGTAAATTTAAGCAATAAACCAATAAATTTTCTCGCCCTTGTTTGTATTTTATATATTAAAATTCTAGATAATTAAATAATTTTTTTTTAAATGTAAACATAACAAACAGGAAGAACGAAGCACAAATTGTAATTAATTGAAAATGTAATAGAGTGTATGGTCATCGACCACTAACAGACAGATTTCCTTCAAGAAAATCGAAAATCGATAAATCTCTTTAAAGTTTAGCTTGGAGATCAATCAATCAATGTTCACTTAGAAGCATTGTCCAACAGGCAAAGAATTGAAATCGGAGTAAACTAAACTAACATGTCTTATGTAACTATATATATATTTATATATTAAAAAAAAGATATACATCTTTCGATATTTATCAATAAACAAACTTTTATATCTGACAATGGCATATATAAAATAGTAGATAAAAAAATAAACAATAATATAGAAATTCGATAAGATAAGTAAGAAAAAATAGAAGCTTATGTTCTTAGCACTACTTTTGGTTGCACTTCAATTCAACTTATTGTTGTTTGAAGAGCACTCGAAAGAAGTTAGCACTTTTATTTTGTTATTTTTTTTTGTGTTTTTTTCATTCGAAAAATTAGCAGATTTCGATACATTTAGACTAATTTATATGAAATAGAATTAAAATGCAAATTAAATAAAAGAAATAAATTAAAGAAAAATTATTTACTATTTGGATAAATCTAAAAATTAATTAAACTTTTCTTACTTTTCTATCTAACAAATATTGTGGCATCTTAATTAATCCAGTAATTAATATTAAAAAGCCACCATCTGCTGGCTATCTTATTTAATGAAATATAATATTTATTATTATTATTTTTTTTATTATTAATTTTTATACCGTTTGATTTTTTATTAACGTTTATAAAGTGCATACTTCCATTAAAACTTCATTAAGGAAGATCTAAATTTCTTAATAGAAGAGGCAACGAAAATCTTTTTTATTTTAATATGTATTTTTTAAAAATATTAATTGTTTTTATTTTTTCGTCAGTTAATCACATTCATTATGATGTATTAGTCTGCAAACATTTTTCATTTATCTTTCTGTTTGCTCGAGTCTCTTGTTCAAACAGTTATTATCTGTACAGGTAATGTTTTTTTTATGAGCAACATCAAAAAGCATATCTATAAATGTAATTTTAATAGAGACGTAGCAAGTAACATGTACTTTTTAATAAAAAAAAAAATACTTCTATCCACAGGATTGTATCTTTAGATACATTGTATCATAATTTTCAACAGAGGTTTAACTTTAATGGAGAACTTTCAAACAGCTACACCTGAAAATATCTGCAAAATTTAGTGGTGATTGATTAAAATGATTACAGAATAATAATTATACTTAACATTTTTTAATGGGGGATTTTCTAAATTAACATTTTCGTAAAAAGAAACGGGGAGAGAAAAAAAACCTACACCTGTAAAGATAAGATTAATGAAGATCCATCCGGACTACTCTACCTTCAATTTTTAAGTATTCTTATCCAAGTATACAATAATTTACCTAAGTTAGTTCATCCAAATAAAATTAATGATAATCTTTAAATAATTATAATTAAACTAAATTTATTTGCATTCAGAAATGAAGTTTATCAAGCGAATGAAAAGACATATTTCATTAAAAGAAGAAATTGTATTTTCTTGTATTTGTTACAAACTTATAAATATAGGAGGAAAAAAAATAATACATATAAAAATAATAACAACAATTCGCATTGCGACGTAAACAGTCTTAAAAATTCTTCTTCTTTATCAAAATTTCAAAGCAAACCCGGATAAGATAACAAAGTTGACCTTTCTTTTCGGTATGCGCTCTCCTCTCTTAAGATCTCGAATGCATTAAAGGAAGTAGAAGGATAGTTTTATATGCCAGAAATTCGATTGAACTCGGCGTGTGGTTTTTCTCCTCTATTTTACTAGTGTAATAGCAAAAGTAGACCGAATATCCGTTGTGACCGAAGGTAAAACGTACTGTACTTCATCTGCTGAAATGCAACACGAACGAATGATATCCTACCAAAATTTTCAAAGAAAGAAAAAAGAAAAAAAAACAAGTAAAAAAAAATGAGTATGTCTGTGATTCATACTCATGTAGTGTCTACCCATACTTCACTGCAAGTAAAATGACAGTTGCTAGCATGTTCAAGACGTGACGAGACTGTTCAAGAAAGAAATCTTATTCCTTGCGCATTTTCCTCTTTCCACTCCAAGCAGTTTGTCTTTCTACAAGACAATCGGGAGGGGAAAAAAATGCATTTCTTTGTATGCGTCTCCATCAAAAAGTATTATTTAACTAAGGATTTGTGCAGTGTAGTAACTAGTAAATCATTCTGAGAAATTAATCTTTCGTCAAATAAGCACAGATAAGGAATTAAACATGACAAGAAAAAAATATTACATTCGAAAAGTTGAGGAAATGAGAAAAGTTTAAATCTAGCAAATGCTTCTCATTGCTTATTTCTTTGTAGATACATAAAATTTAATTTGTTTAAATGTTATTCGATAAAAAAAAAAACGCATTCAATCTCTTGTCATGCTTTGTGAATAGGTTATTTGTAGAGGATTTAACACGTCATTCTCTTTAATTCTTACATTTTTAATTACTTTGTCTTATTTGCTTATTAAAACCATCTTTTTCCTTTATCATTAAAGTGAATAAGAAATTAACTGAATATTAAAAAAGAGCATTAAATCGAGAATTCTTTATATACAATCAATTAAATTATATATGAAGTTCTAGAATTGTAGAAGCAAATTCGAAATAGATAAAGTTACTCAAATATAGATGTAGGAATGTTCATTAATAGATATAGGAATCAGAAGAGATGTTCCTCGAGTAGGATTTCTCGAAAATATAGAGACATTCGAAGAAATTTATACAGTCATCAAATACGAACACGATATTGATGAGGAGTAGACACATCACTCAAGAGCAGAATATATATGGATCATGACTGTATATTCAGTTAATCATAAATTTAAGAACAGATACAGAATCGTAAGAAAATAGGAAAATAAGCGTTGAATTATTCGGGAGTAAATTCAAAGATACTTTAAAATAGGTATAAAAATCAAAATTTAAAACTTGTATAATGATCTTGATGTATTTTTGAGTGATCTAATACTCTGGTAATGAGAATTTCCCTTGATTGATTATCTAAGTAAAAACGACTTCCCGCTTTTCTTGTCAAACTATGTTCATTTTTATGAAACTTTTCTGATAATATCGAACTAATAGATATTTAAACATTTCAATCGAATAATTATTTAAATATTTTATTCATTTAATAATAAAATCGTTAATTTTTAACGAAATTAATGTCAATAAAAAGTATAATTTCATATATATTTTTAGTCTGTATAGAAATATTTGGTCTGGTATATAAAATCTATTAAGAATTGTTTAAAGAAAAAGTGCCAAGTGATTATAGGGACCGAACCCACATCGTTTATCGTTTATCGAATGTTCTAATGTTCCAGCAAAATGGATGTATCCAATAACTTAACATGTGTTTAATCTCTTATCAGAAGCCATTGGTTCGGTTCCCATCTGCCATCCGACATATGTCTTACTATTTCTTTCTTTCCTTCCACTGATACAGGAGAATTTACACTCTGACAGTTAATCGTTAACCTTATTTTACGGTATTTTGACAAATTTTTGAGTTATGTTCATTAATGTATTTGATAAAAATTTAACTTTAAAAAAATTGTTAATGAAGAAAAATGAAAAACATTTATCAAATATTCTCGTAGATAAGATTATTAAGATATCATTTACAGATACGTGAAAAAAAAAATTCCCTTCCAGCAGACAAGAATAATATTTCTAACACGCAAACACATTAATAGACAAGCGCCTTAATCTAGATTAATCAAATTTTCTTCTTTTCAACAGGTTTCTAAAAGAAGATACTCGTTACTAATGACATTTATATAAATAGTCGTATACCAGAGCAATTTCAACGTATAATTTACCATAATAAGAAACGAAATTCATCACATTTTCACCAATTTTTTTTTTCCAATGTAAACCGAGAATTTTCAAAAGTATTCAAAAACTTTGTAATTTCAAACATGAAATCTCGTGCCCTGATCTATTTCATGAAGAGATTATTATCAAAAAAAAAAATGGAAGAAAAAAAAGAAAAAAATAAGATTCTTTCCAAATTTCCGAACGTGCTAAAAATGATTGATTACGTCTGTGCCACCGAGAACTATTTTTGTTCTTGTGAGAAAACTTTTTGAAATATGTTTCTATTATTTCCACGGACTAATTTTAGTTAAAAATCTTAAGAAAATTCAAATTTTCTATTTCCGTCTTTATTAATCTTTCTACTGAAAAAGAGTCGTAATCCGAAAATGATGTCGTTCCGGCGTTATCTGAAACCATCTCTTCTTTTTGTAAAAGTATCACCTACTTATGGCTAACGTTAATCAATAAGAAAAAAGGAAGAAAAAAAAATGGCGATACGAGAGAAGATATGAAAGTTGGGCCGATATTATCCCAAGCTGACAAAAGATCATTTGAGGTAAAGGTGGGTAATACTTCGTTTCTGTAGTAGCAGTCATCGTGTGTGTTATTACAAAGAATTGCTTACAAAATTATGAAAAAAGAAAAAAAATCTTATATCCATTCAATAAAATTTGTGGCTGTTTTCGGAAATTTAATATTCTACATCGTCTTGAATTTTTAAAACCAAATAAAATTTTCAAAAAGTTCAAATTTTATATTAATAAAGAAGGAAATTTTTTCTATATTTAAAAAAAAATTTTTTTACTAAATTTATATAAAAAATTAAAGAAAAATTAACTTTATGAACGTTCAACAGTCACTAAAAATCCCTTAATTCGATTTATTTTCACACTCCGTTTTAGATTCTTTACCCCGAAACAAATCTTTTATCTTTCGATTTTTTTCGTTTTAAGGGATTTATTTTTTAATATATAAAATTGCAATTGGCCCATTGCCAAAATTTCGATATAAAACATGCTAATTTAA